GATTCATTAGCCCAGCCCCTGCCCGGCCACGACCCCCGCCCTCCAAACCGCATTAACGAGGAAATGATGAAGGGGGAGACGCTCTATGACATCCAGCTGCTCCCATCAGCGGCTGTTAGTCCCGCAGGTCCCACGCACACGGCAGCCCTCCCGCGGGATTCCCAAATATTTAGGCAAGTTTATACTGGACAGCCCCTGTGGATGTGTTCAGGCTTCAAGGAATAGCCCTGCCACAGGCTTTCTGCTCTCTGCTACCGAGGAGATAAATGTGTACAGCTTAAAAGCTCAGCTGCGATCTCCAAGAGGTGCATATTTCTGTGTGTCCTGTGAGGTTCACCTGTGTAAACGTGGATACATCATAGCTGGAATTTTTGAATACGGAGGGAACATGCCTTCTCCCACCCCCAAGTGGATCCAAAACGTGCGGTTTAAAATGATTACTCATTTCACTGCTTGACTAAGGTTTACTGGAGTACATGCAGGTCCTTGCTCCCTTCTCAGATAGAAGGGCCAGATTGCAAAGCCTCACTGCATCTGCCTGTGCAGCCTCAGTGGGTTGGCTGTTTTGGGAGAAAACAAATGCATAATGGGTGTTTGTCTAGAGCAAGCTGCAATTATAACGAGCGTAGGATTTGATTACTTGGAGGATTTGATTACTGCACAGAAAAGATAAATCAGATGAAGATGTAAAGTTAATGTTTACCATATAAATTACATTAAATCCCTCTGTGGGTACTCCCTCACAGGTGAGGTGGCCCTAGTTCTGCACCATCCATAGATCAGAGGCTTACATCTTTGTGGCTCTGAAAGCACACTAGCAAGAGCATAGGCCCCCTGATCTGAACACAGCAGAGAACCAGGAAGATGTCCAGTGTTTCCCAGCTGGGTTTTTTGTGAATTTGTACACAGTCATGGAGGCCCTAAGAGAGATAGGAAGGAGACTTTGCACCCTCTTCCTGATGGTTCCAGCCAGGTGAATGCCTTGCAAGATGCAGAGGCCTCGCTCTGCACCAGCAGGCCTAAAAGGCACAAGCAGCTTCAGCACAATTCGGGAAAAACATAATAATAAATAATCTGTTGAGGCCAAAAGTTATACACTCACAAGTTAGAAGCAGCTGAAATTTATGGTGAATGAAGTTGCTGGAAAGTCAATTGCTGCAGAAGCTGCAGATGGATGCAAAGAATGGACAGGTATGGAGGATGCTCAGTCTGGCAATAAAATTCAATCGTGCAGTAAAGACAGCAGTCTCACCCTGCTTTTGCATCATAGTTTTTACATGGTACTAATCCAGCCCCTCACTTTTTGCAGGTGGATACTACTTACGAATTTCTAATCTTGGCCACTGTTCAAGTTCTAGGTTCATCTTGCCAACAGGTTTCAGATATTTGCTCACAGCAGATCTAACTGGCAAAAGTTAGAAACCACAGGTTCAGTTCTAGGCTCTGGAAGATGCATCTCAATTTCCCTTCCAAAGAGGGGGAGGATCTTGTGCACAGTCCCAAGCCTGTCTCTCCTTCTCTAAAGAAGGATGAGATACCTCACTGTGTATTAGATTTAGAATAGTTAAGGAAAAAATGAAAACAAACTCCCAAACAAACAAAACCCCCACCAACCCAAATGGTCATCAGATATAACAGAAACAGTTTAAATTTTGTCTATACTTAAAATTAAAAGATAAGCTTTAACAAGGCTCTGTTGCTTTGAGTGGATGCTTTGCCTATAAATTTGTTTCCAAGGGATCTGAAGTTTGTAATAAACATCTTTTGCCAATTGAATTACAAAATACGTGGGTTCATGGGGCTCTCTTTCTCTGTAATCTTTAAAATCATATGCAGATCTTTACTCATATGCATAATCTTTAAAATCATCAGCCGTGTATCAGAAGACTTGTACAAAGGTATTTTAGCAGTTTTGTTTAAAAGATGTTCTGCTATTATTGTGGTAAGCATGTAGGTCTCTTAGATTAATTAGATGAAATTGTTCCTGCTTTTAAATAACAGAGCACTCTGAAAGCCCTGCTGCGTCCTACCAGAGGAGAGCAGGAAGAAAGAATTTTATAATTGGCAGGACTCTCACACATCCTAAATCTGTCTGCAAGAGAGCATCACTGTTGCTATAAGAGAATTTATCATCCATTCTGAGGCATTTGCTCAGTATTAGAGAGGGACAATTCAGTGTCATCCAAAACTATATCCTGCAACATTTCACATTACTTCAGGTTCCCATACAGAAAATATACATATCCTAATTAGCCACTGGGACTCAACCAGATCCTGGAATGCCCTGGCACATGTGTATGTGTATTCTCCATTAAACTGAACAAAAACATTTTGGGGTATATTTAGCTGTGGCTTAAGACATAGTACAGGAATGAGAATTTAGCTTCCCTCTGATTTCACATGACCAAGTTTTCGTTTTTGTTCAACTGCAAACATACCTCAGGGCTTCCAGATGCTTTCCTGCCTCCAAAGGCCCTTGTGCTTCCTTCTGCATAATACAAAAGCTGCATGACACGCGTAGCTACGTGACACCAAATCCTCAGTGCTCACAGGTAATCTGCTGAAACCAACGGGGCTGTTTATGTGAGCAGCGACTAGTTTTCATGTGTGCAAAGATGCAGAAGTGGACTGGACTTTTCTGGGCTTCACAGAAATGAACAATCAGTCTGGTGTAGTTTGTAAGCGATGCCGAGACATTGTCTGCCCTTTGTGTCATACGGAGCCCATTTTTATTGTGTACCCAGCGTCTTACCTGCACGATGTACCCTGATGCCTGCACAGTTATTTCAGGGAATGTGCTAGGATTTTAAAATTCCCTAGTAGCAGATGTCATCTGATTATGCATTTAGACAGAAGTGATTTTAATATAAAGGAGAGGGGATCACGAGATAAAGGGAGCTTAAACGAGAGGAAGAGATAGTGTTAAATAATTTAACTTGAAAAGAACAAAGATACTCAGAAATGAACAAGATAAAGAGAGGTGTTAATTATAAATAGGAAAGTTGAGGAGAAAAAGTGGAAATATATGGGAGACGGTTTACAACACATTTATATTTCTCACAAGCACTTAGTGGCATGATCTCAGATTTTCTCAGGCGCTTGAAGAGATTGCTAAACCGATCCCATTAGCTGGATTTCCTTATGGGAGAGGAGTTCACAGGTCTTTATTCTGTCTTGACCTGGCTGCTTATACTGCTTCAGGCACCTGAAAGAGATCTTTTGGTTGTTGCTACTGAATATTACTGAATGCCTTTGAGTGCTTGGGTATTGCCAGCTGCAGGACTCACCGCCATTAACATAATGCAGTAGTAGGAATTATGTACAAGTTCAATTTAGAACAGTACTTAATGGGTTTTAAATGCACCTATAGGTATGCCATTCTAAATAGAAGCCATGAGACAATAAAAGGTTTTGTGAATATTTGGGTTTATCTCTATAATGGTATGATTATTTTTTTTCCCAGAGACTTTAAATGCTTTTTTTTATCTCAGTTCTTAAATACATAATACTTTTTTTTAAAAACTTGTAATAAAGAGTCCTCTTAAATATTTAGGTATTCAACAAATAAACAATTTTTCTTACTTAAGAGCCCAGTGTGAAATTTTCATGCGATAATCTTAGGCATTAAGAAGAAAATTTAAAAAACAACAAATGGGGACCTTGCTGATCCCTTTCCTAGAATTTTGCTTGTTCTTACAGAGAAATGGAACCCAATTTACTGATGCTCCACTCATGATATTCTCTTGCCTTCTCCCCCAAACTGCCAAGAGACCATATAGATCTAGGGAAATGTTCATGTTTTACACTTTTTTTGCAGAAATATGGTTTCCCAGTAGACAGCAAGGCCATAATGTACTCAGAAGGCTGCATTAAAAAAAAAAAAAAAAGGCAATTGGCACAATAAAGCTGTGCACTTGATACAAATTACAGGCTTCTTTAACTGCAATTCAAAAACATAAGAGGAAAAAAATATTTTCTAAAACCATGAAAAGCTGTACATACTTAAACCTGAAAAATTAAAGCGAGAACAGGAAATAGCTTCTCTGAATGATTTTATGGTGAACAACTGGATTTAACCTGTTAAATAAGAGACATCAGAGATAACATGGGGATACTTTTACATATTTTTCTCCTTACACTTACAAAAATAACCTTCTTATATTACAATAATCATACAAAACACCTACAATGTGAGCAGTTTCAGTGCAAAAACCTCTGCTGTATTTTTACAGGGGAGAAGCAGTAGATTCATTCCTGGGTGTGTATGCACATGTGTGCAGATGCAAACTTTTTACGATGATTGCAGAGTAATTAACCACTCCTAATGGGGGAAGCACACAAATCACAGAAAACAAAAAGAGGAGAGCAGTCATCCCAGCTGTGATACCTGTCACAAAGGTCGAGTTTGCAAGGAGCAGCCACCAGAGAAATCAGTTACTAGAAGGTTTGTCTTAAGGTTGCTGAAAGCTGGGTTTTAAAACCTTAAGCTTTGTTTTCTAGAAGAAGGGGTAGCAGGGCATGTCCAAGAGAAAGGACACCCCATGCTCCAAATTTTATATTCTGGGGATGGAAGGTAGAGCCCTGTTTCTCTTGTGTGTGTCCCATTTGATTTCAATATTACCAAAGAGTTGAAAGGTTCAAAGACACAGGGCAAATTCAGTAGTTTCCCTGAGGGGGAATGCCAGAGAAGACTTTAGACTTTCTTAGATTTGTTGGTTTGACTTAAATACTGTGGCACCTGTTGCTTCATACCTCTTGCATCTTTGCATGTCGATGCCGTGTCCTGTCTTCACCACAGGCCAGGCCCCAGCTCTGCATCAGTCTGGAGAAAAGCAAAGTGCATTCCACAGACAGAGCTCTGAATAGTTTGGTCAGTTAGGAGACTACAGTCTCAGAATCAGCATGATGCGCAGTAGAAAAGCACAAGTGTAGACACATCCTCTGTGCTTAGCCCAGCACACTGACTTCTGGTGACTATTTTGCACATCAAAACTTGTTCATTACTTACAGCCTGACCATTCAGTCTCTCCCAGCCATCCCAATTTCCCCTGTGGGATGGAGACCAACCTTCATATTATACATCCTAGGGTACCAATTTAGAAAGGTTTTGCCTACTCTTCCCTCAGTTAAGCCAGACCTTTCCAAAAATGCAGGGAAATAGGGGATCTTAAAATCGTATAACTTGACAGTGTCATCATTTACCTGCATTGAAGTAAATTCCACAGTATTTACAAATCTAGTTTTTGATCCCAGCCTGTCTGGCCTCTCGATTTAAAATGGAGTAGGAAGTGCTCCTGCAGGAACAGAAGCATTTCCAAGTGCTGCATGTGTCAGTCCTGAGAGGAAGGTACATGTTCCCACCCATCCTTGTGGCACCAGGCCCCTTTACAGTGCTGGAATCAGGATATTCTTCTTTTATTCTTTTTTCTTGAATTGTTTATACCAGTGCAGAATTCAGATATCCTGATCGGACTGTGAGGCTTCTTCACACCAGGCACTGTGCAAGCATAAACCTTGGCACGTTTACACTGCAATCCAGTAACCTTAGTGCATATACATATAATGGACCTCACTTTAATGTGGCCCTCATTAGTACCAGCTGCTGTGATTAAAACCATTGGTGACTGAGTACAAATGGGGCCCACAGGCCAAAGCTGTCAGGAGATTCCTGCTGGCAGAATTGAGTCAAACTCCTTCTCCATCTCCTGCTGACATCCTCACAAGTCCTCTCCTAGAGAGGGATAAGATGGGGTCTAATATGTCTGATGTTGATCAGGTTCACATTTAAGTGAAAAAATGTCAAATGTGAAAGCAGATCCAAAAGAAAAAAAAAAAGCAAAGCCAGGAAGAGAGATAAGCTGTTGGGAAATACACTAAATAATTAGGCAAAATATAGTCAGAGAGGAATAAGTCCTTTAAAAGCAATCTAATAACAAATCAGATATTATGTCTGTCAATACATAAAAAAACGAGGATGCTGACAACTCTTCATCCCACAATCTGCAGCATTAATAAGTGATGAAGTATTAAAAAAACTGGGACGCTTTGTGCCTAAAACAGTATCACACAAGGACAAGGGAATAAAGCTGAACTAAAACAAAAGACACAATTGTGTTTTGCTGGCAAATAACGACATAAATGAAAAACAAAACTACGGAAACAAATACAGCCCCTCCAACCATCAAACAGAAGGAAAACATGACTACCTCAGTTTTTTGGGACTAATCAAATACAAATCATGAAGTCAGCACTATCTTATGAAAGTTTTGGAAGCAGCTGTTATTCCAGAAGCATCCAGCCCAAACGGCTTATTTAAACAAAGAGAAGGAGATGGCACAGGAGCGGAGGATTAAAGTGATGCTGA